GAGAATGATGTCTGAATCAAAGTTGTAGTCAGATGGGTTAGCTTTCCAACGCATTTTGAATCGCCTCAATCGAATATCGGAATACAAAGTTATGATAAAAACACTGAAAGAAGGTGCAGCTGCCTGTTTAAAACAAGAAATTCCGTTATATAATCCGTTAAAACAACAAATTCCGTTAGTTTTTCCGTTAAAAACAAGAAATTCCATTACATAACCACTTTTAATATATAGAAGATATATGTGAATTCTTACTATATTACAATTAATAATTATAGTATTTTTTTTTCTTTGTCACTCCACATGAAAAAAATAATCATAAAGGAATTACAGATTTAAAAGTAAAGCCTTTCTTTTCTCTCCTCATCTATTTTTTTTTCCTGTTTATAATGGTGTATATATTTACAAATCAATTATTTGAACTTATTATTTTTAATTTCCCATTTAATCCGATTCAATATTTATCTTTTCCAGAATTAAAGTTCGAGCCACTTTTTAAAAAAATAAATTACATAGACATTTTGACACTCAAGGAATACGTTGAAGCACATTCTACAAAATATATATGTCCAGATCTATGGATCTATTTCCCGGTAAAGAGTTCGCAGTTTCCTTCAATCTTTGATATGATCACAATTAATAATTAATTTGGTCAAAGGAAATTAGAAAATAGAATTCACAAAGTCTGTGGTCACAATTATGGCCCAATGTTATTTGTCAACACAAATTTCTATCAAAATGTTACGTGATACGATAACTATTTTCAAATTTCTATGCCATCATCCATCAGTTTTTAATGTTTAAAGTCAAACAAATCACATGTTAAATAACAATATTGCTACATGTAATCAAATTTGAAAATATGAAGTTCGATCCAAACTACACCTAGAGAGGAGTGAATAGGTAATTATGCAGAATTAAAAACTTACTAATTAAATGCACCAAGTCACTATTAATTATTTTTAAATGATTAATCACAAAATTCAGTTTTTGTCCTATGTTGAATTACCACTGATGCTACCAAAAATCGTATCGTCAACTTCCGAACTTGACGACTGAGAATGAGCACGAATAAGGTCTTCCAGTATCTGAAACAAAGGCATTGTCCTCGTCGCCCCTCCGATACTTAAATTAGTGAGAGAATTTGTGAAAAGATAAGTTCTGAATAATTATGTAAAAACGTACCTGAATAATGACTTAGAGTGCTATATTTATAAAGGTAGGTAGTGCTTTCCTAGTAGGATTAAGTTATTCGAACTCTCCAAAGTCCTATGACATTTTGAAGTCATAACTTGATCGGTGCTTTTTCATAAAGGTGTTTGAATAGGGATAGAACTCACTGATTGAGTCCTTCCTGGGTGGACTAGGAACAGTAGGATTCAACTTCTTTGTAACTGGATAAGTTCTATCTAATTGGAGAGTCCATAATGAAATAGGAGTTGTTAGATGCGAGGTTTAGGCATGATCTCAAGGATGTCCCAAGCTAATGGGCAAACATAATTCTCGAGGAGACATCTCGACGAGGTCTATGATTATGGGGTGTCATATCATGTGCTAGACAACCATCATGCCCGAGGTACATTGACCGAGGAGGGAAGTTCATAATTGATGGGAACATGTCTTCGGGATTAATGCTCGGGTTGTGACAAATAACGAGATAATCATCCGCAAATATAAAAGTAATAAATAAACACAGAATTAATCACAGAGAAACTCCAATTGGGTAAAAACTCCGGACACTTTGTCAATCAACAATCCACTATAAACGATTTAAAACTTACAGTCCACCTATTCGACTGCTACTAATAATTTCCGACCTTCTGACTGCAATTCCAACAACTCTTTTGAATTTCGTGCTCCTGCACCAACTCTCTTCTGCAATTTCCAAAGCTCTCCTGGATTGCGCTATCCTACAACAATTCCCAACTTTGTGAAATCGTCTATCTCATGTAGATTAAAGAAGAACACCACGTTCTTCAACGATTGGAATTCCAATCACATTTCCTTGATTTTCAGGATTTCTGACAGATATAAAAGAAGCAACAGTTTGGTATTTGGATTGTGAGTTTGATATTTTCACC